AGAAACGACTCGATGGCACTTAACAACAACAACAACATGACTTAGGTATCATATGTCTCCTGACCTTTCCTTTAGATGTGTGTCCTATTGTTGTTAAATTGTGGAGTCAATTTGACTCATGGCAATCTGAAGTCCTTTGTCTAAAGTAAGATTTGGTGATCTGCTTCCAGAGGGTCACAGCCTTGAAAACTCTACATAGTGCAGCTCTACTCTGAACACTTGGTGTCACCATGAGCCATGTATGTCCTAACCCATTGCCATTGAATCTACTCTGATTCCTAGAGATTCTACAAGTCAGAGTAGAACTTCCCCATAGGGTTTTGAAGGCTATAATATTTATGGTGCTGCAAAATACCCCCATAAAGTTTTAGAACGCATCCATGTCACTTTGAGGACTAAGGTATGCCTGACCCAAACAATGGTATTTTCAATGACCTCACAGGCATTCAAAAACTGGACATTGAGTAAGGAAGAACAAAGAAGAATTGATGTCTTTGAAATACGGCATTGGTGAAGAATATTTAATATACCGTGGGCTGCCAGAAGAACAAACATATATGTCTTGGACAAAGTACAGCCAGAATGCTCCTTAGAAGCAAAGATTGCAAGACTTCCACTCACGTACTTTGGACATTTTGTCAGTAGGGACCAGTCCCTGGAGAAAGACATTATACTTGGTAAAAAAGAGAGTTAGCGAAAAAGAGGAAGACTCTCAATGAGATGGACTGACACAATGGCTGTAACAATGGGTTCAAACATAGCAACAATTGTGAGGATGGTGCAGGAAAGCACAGTGTTTCGTTCTGTAATACATAGGCTCACTATGAGTCAGAGCCAACTTAATGGCACGTAATAACAATAAATTTTTACAGAAGTAGATTGCCACATCTTTCTCCCAGATGTATGTGTCTTATGCAATCCAATATTAAAAGTTTGCATACTTAAAGTTGCGTCTGAAGCATGGGATAAAAATGACTCCTCTTATCTTCAGTGGCATCAGTAAGGTTGGTATCACCCAGTGCAATAACTCATGGTATCACCCTCCACTCCATGGACACCAGCCCATACCAGACCAAAGAGAATCCTTAGAAAAGTTTATTAACTAACTTAATCATGGAATATATGATAAATTTAGATGTGAATTACTTAAGTGTAATATTTCTTAGGTTATATGAATACTAACAATGAAATTATTTTGTAAAATCTTTCTACCTTGAATTACAACATTTTTAGTGTCAACATTATTAGTAATTGAATAGAAGCCTTTTTTTTATTTTTCTCTTTCTTTTCCTTTTATTACTACTTCATTCTCAAAAAAGTTATTGATATTGGTTCACAATTAATAATTATCATAATATTGTAGCCAAAACATCAGAAAGTCTGACAAAATCAGCAACTGTAAAAACACTGACAGTAACAAAAACAAAAATGTGTGCTTGTAGCACGTGTATATGAAATCACATGATTTGAAGCATCATTGTAATTGGGTAACAACAATAGCAGATAATTGGGTAATAATAATGACAGCTGCAACTGGAATGCATTAGAAAGTTCAAAAAATAAATTAGCATAGAGTTTTAGCCTTGTCAGTATATTGATAACATGTAAACTGGGCTTAAGAAAAATGTTTTTGTTATAACTAACTATAGGAATTTTTTTTATAAAAATTAATAAATATCCACAGAAATACTGCACAAAAATTTTATGAACAGTGATTTTGGTGTCACCTCTTCTGACATTGTCAACCATACAGTCTGCAACCCCCAAACCCCTCTAGGGATGTCATTGCATACCTTCTCTAACTTTGGTACCTCCAAGGACTATTGCAGATATGCCGACAGATGATGACAGGAGCCAGATACAGATATTGATGATCTTTGCCTTCAAGGGTGTGCGGAAATCTAACGCTTTGACAGGGTGGCACACAGCAATGTAGCGGTCTACACTCATCATGGTCAAGGTGAAGATGCTGGTAAACATATTGTAGTAGTCTATGGAGATGACAATCTTGCATAGCACATCCCCAAATGGCCAAGAGTTCATCAGGTAAACTGTACTCTGGAAGGGCATGGTTGTAGTGACTAAGGCATCTGCCAGAGCCAGATTAAAGATGTAAATGTTGGTTGCTGTCTTCATCTTTGTGTATCTACAAGACAACAAGCAATATCATTTTCCTCCATCTTCCTGTCAAATACATAAGGTAAATTAATGTATGACAGCCCTCAGACTATTGACTTTCCTTGTTCATTCACATATTCTTTACATATTCATTGAGGATCTATAAAGCAAAAATGTCCCTGGGTAAGACAAACAGTGGGTGCTTTACTAGTAACCTAAAGATTAGTCCGGCTATCTGCTTCCAGAAAGATTACAGCCAGTAAAACTCTCTGGAATAGTTCTACTCTGTAACACATGGAATCACTATAAATCAGAATTGACTCAATGGCAACAAGTTAGATTTTGATTTTTAATATATAAGAGTATATTGGGAATAGTAGAAAATTGACATAAACCTCTGACATTATTTAAATTATATTCTAGTGCTTTTCTAATATTTTCATTGCCATAAACAATCTATGTATTTGTCAGTTCAATGGTTTTTACCATATACTTCAGTGACACAAATTCGATTAATTATGTTGTGCAACCATTATCAATATCTCATAAAATGTTTAAATAAAAAGATCAAAAGGTAATGAAAAGAAAGTAATGTAGACACAAATTATTATACATAGATAGAGGTATATTCAACAGACTTACATATAATACAAGTTTTATTTTGTCATGGCCAATTCATTTCATTTCTACCAGAGGTGATTGATTCAAGCATGTTTGTTGTTGTTGTTAGGTTCTCTCGAGTTGGTTCTGACTTCCAGCAACCCTATGTACAACAGAATGAAACACTGCTCCATCATGCACCATCCTCATAATAGTTGCTATACGTAAGCCCATTATTTCAGCTAAAGTAGTTTAACTTTTTTTTACTCGTGAAACAAATACTCAAAACATATTCAACTTTTCAGGATTAATTTGAAAAATCAATTATTATAATTATTATGTCTTTTGAAAATGTAAAAATGGTTTCCAAATTTTAATAGTTCTGATAAATTAGTTCAATCATTCCAGTTTAACTAATTGCTAAAGCACAATTAGTTTTGTTGACTTCTGCATACCAGTGTAGTTGGTGTTGGTGTTGGTGTTAAGGGTTGTGAGTTGGTTCTGACTCATAACTATCCTATGTACAACAAAAGAAAACACTGCCAGGTCCTGTGTCATCCTTACAATTGTTGCTATGTTTGAGTCCACTTTTGCAGTCACTGTGTCGATCCATCTAATTGAAGGTCTTCTGCTTATTTACTGTTTAAATAGTCTTAATTTTAAATGCATTATATAGATAAAGCAGGCTAAATTATTTTCTTATACACATCATAGCACTAAATGTAATATGGTACTTGGAAAAAAAAAAAAAAAAAACTCACTGCTGTGGAGTTGACCCCAATTCATAGTGACCTCTCTTTGGGTTTCTGAGGTGATATCTCTACGGAAGTAGATTGCTCAATCTTCCTTCTGAGGAGTGGTTGGTGGGTTTGAACCACCAGCCTTCTGGTTAGCAGTCAAATGCCTTCAGCACTATGGCACCAGATAAAAAATACTTCTGATGTGCCTTTTTTTTCAAATCATGAGAGATTTTTAAAGCAAGTAATTTATTACATCTTCCAACTGAGGGGGCAATAATTTTCAATGGTCAGAAAGATTAAGCTCAAATTATTCTTCCCATTCTAATGTGAAGTTTAGTATAATTCCATTTTCAAATAAAGCAGAATTAAAATGATTATTTTTCTTAGAAAATGTTTCCTCAGACATCTCCAGAGCTTTGAAGGTTCCACAGTATACTAGTAGGTTTCCAGAAGTCCTGTGGCTAAGTTATGGTGGGAAAACTCTTATGTTAATTGCTTTCTACACACCTCAGATATGTATACATTATCACAATCAATATAGTAATGCTCCAGGTACTTTCCAGGAGTCAGGCTTCTTCAGTGTTATGGTCTTGACTTTTATTAAAGGTCATTCATAAGAGCTGTCTTCTGGCAAACCATTTTAGCTTTGGATGTAAAACCAGTGTCAATGGTATTTGCTGATTACTGTATACATGCCATTTGTGATAGTTAAGGTTGTGTGTCAATTTGGCTGCACCATGATTCTAAGTCATTTAGAAGTTATGATGTAGTCTACCTTATGATGAGATCTGATATAATCATTTCCATGATTAAAATGAAAAATGGTTTCTAAATTTTAATAATACCAAAACCAAACCACTGCCATGGAGTTGGATCCAACTCATAGTGACCCCTCCTTGGGTATCACTATGGAAGTAGATTGTCTAACCCAATTATTAATTAAATAGTTTCAGTTTAACTAATTGCTAAAGCACAATTGGCTATAAGCAACCAATCAGTTGAAAGGGAATTTTTTCAGGAGTGTGGCCTGCTCCCAGTATATATATATATATATATATGTATGTATATCTGGGGAAAACTCTATGCCTTTCTGCTGAATCTTAATCCTGCATCTCACTCATCAGTTCCTGGACTTGAACCAGTGGCCTGACATATTGCCTGCTGAACTTGGGACTGTTGTATTTGCAGCCAACAATCTGCAATTTTACCTGCCAATCTTGGATTTGTCATCCTCCAAAGACAGCAGCCTGCTATACTGTCTGCTGACCTTGGGTGTGTCAGCCCCTGTAGCTGTAAGAATCAGGAGAAGCCTCCAGCTTGACATTTCACCCATGGACTTGGGACTTGCCAGTCTCTACAACTGTGTGAGCCATTTTCTTGAGACAAATTTCTCTCTCTCTTTATCTATTTATCTATCTATCTATCTATCTATCTATCTATATATATATATATATATATATATATATAAGTTTCGGGAGCTCTGGTAGCATAGTGGCTAAGGCACTTGACTGCTAACCAGAAGGCTGGCGGTTCAAACCCACCAGCCACTCCTCGGAAGGAAGGTTGGGCACTCCTACTTTCGTAGTGATACTGCCTCGGAAACCCAAGGAGGGGTCGCTATGAGTCAGGTTTGACTCGACGGCGCATAACAACAACAACAACAACAACATATAAGTTTCACTGGTTATTATTCTCTAGATAGCCCAGCCTAAGACAGCATTCAATACATAAATTTCCATATGAGAATTTTCCTTTAAAATTTAGTGATAGGACATTCAGGGATCCCCTTGAAGTTGGGGTGGTCTAGTGAAGTTGGGGTGGTCTCAGTGAGTCCTGAGCTCCTGGGCTGCCCTAAATTATCAGTACACTTTTCTGTGTTTCAGTTCCTGATAAATGAGGACAATAAAATTTGCCTCACAGTAAAGGAGATAAATGATAATACTCAAAGTACCCGACACACAGGGTCACACTTCACACTCAATATCTCTCCTCCTCTTTGTTCTTCCCTATGTCCACCCTTCCCTTCCTCTCTTCTCTCCTTGTTAGGAATGGTTTTGTCCATGATCGGATGGTATGGCACGGTAAACACTGTACTGGCAGGCCTCAGCTTACAACAGAGTTCTTTTCTAAAGAATCCATTGTAAGTTGGTTGATGTAAGTTGAATATTTCATTTTATTTTTAATTTTAATTATTATTGCCTTTTATTAGTAATATCTTTATAAATCCTCACATTGAACATCTGAGAATGATATCATCAGCAAATTCCACACTGCTATATTGTATGTAGTACATATTACTAATTATAAGATATATAAAAAAAAAATGAAGTAGGTTTTAAGTGTGGTTCCTCGTAATTTAAATACATTGTAACCTAGAGACTACCTTACCTAGGGCCAGTATCTACTAGCTTCCATTTTGAAGCTCTGACAAGTAAATAGTGCTTTAATCTGGAGATGAAGGAAATCATTTAAAAATATGTTTTGCATTTGCACTTTTTACTCAAATATTATTAAAAGTCCATAAATGTTAGAAAGGGAGTCTCTATGTGGTGAAAGGAGTTAACACGCTCCACTGCTAACTGAAAGGTTGGAGATTCAAGTCCACCCAAAGGTACTACTTCCAAAAAATTAGTGGTTGGAAGTCCTGTGGAGCACAGTTCTATACTGACACACATGGAATCACCATGGCTCCAAAACGACTTGACAGCATCTGGTAAACTTGTGGTAAGTGTTAGAAACTGATTAAATATGCATGACCAAGCAGTCTGAGCAGCAGCTGTATAAAGGCACAGATAAGTAAGCAAGACCACATTATGTTTTAATGGGAAACACTGAAATATTATCTGTTCATTGTCTTCTTAAAAATAAGGTTTTACATTTGAAAAATGCAACTTAGAAACCAACACCTGACTCTTTCAATTTATTTCCATAAAATCTCTGATTCTACTAAAGATTCTGTAAGGTAATATCTTTGACTACTACTATTGTATTTTTTGACCCCTTTTTTAAAAAATGAAATTAGTCTTTGCCCTATAAAGTTACACAGACCTGGGATCTAGTCCTTATTTTCTCTCCAACTAATCGGTTGGCTTTGGAGAAGCCATTAACCACCCTGAGTGTTAGTTTCACCCTCTACAAAATGTAAAACATAATACTTATCTCATAAAGTTACTAAGATAATTGTTGTTATTTTTGTTGTTGTTATGTGCCATTGAGTCAGACCCAACTCATAGTGACCCCTCCTTGGGTCTGGTGGCATCACTATGGAAGTACATTGCCCAACCTTCCTTCTGAGGAGTGGCTGGTGAGTTTGAACTGCCAGCCTTCTGGTTAGCAGTCAAGTGCCTTAGGCAGTACACTACCAGAGTTTCTACTGAGTAAATTAGAATGTGTACCCTGAGTGTTAATTATCTACTAATTATTAATTTTACTAAGATAATTATAGATAATTAATACTCATGGTACACATTCTAATTTATTTCTTTTCTCCAACTCTTCTTCCCTCTTTCATGTGGATGAAAGTTATCTGTTACCAAAGGAAGAAGAGTGGAATGTTATTTCTTTTTAACATTCCTGGTCAGATTTACCCCTACTCTTCTTCAACATAAAAGATAAGACAAAAATGAAGCCTCAGGTCTCAAATGTTGGAAAAATGTGCATGGTATGACACACAAATTGCAACAAAATG